TACAGGGTGATCAATGCGAAGTTAACATAACTCACTGTTGATTAATGGTAGTCTGTGCTGGGCCAGATATTAATTTCCTCCACTAATTGTCGTGCAGACGTGGACTTTATGGGATGTAAGTTAGGCTCGTGCGCTTCACCTCTGTGTAACTAATAAGCTAGTGCCACATTGAACTCTTGAAAATATTTAAATTGCAGCATTAAAATTGTTACAAAAATACGACGTGCCATTCTATCATAAGTAAAAATGTAATACCTTTTTTTATACTTGGCTTTGTAATCTAAAAACCAGTACCTTCCTATATATGAGAGCTATTTTTTTTAAGTCGTGTATTTGGAAATACATCGCAGAAAATATTAACAAAGTTGGAAATAAATCTTGTTGGTAAAAATCACACTGCAGCAGAACTCCAGTGAAAACGTGTAGAAGTGGGAGGTAACCTTAGAGACCCCATTATCCACAGGGTCATCTGTGAAATGAATCCACTTAGTTGCAAAATATCACGGATAAACGTGGATAGGATTAATTTGCCAATTAGCTCGTATCTAACAAATATCAGCAGATAATAAGAAGAACATAAATCCTGTAAGTGAATGGCTGGAAAAATGGGGCAGGGCAAAACCCATGGATGAATGTTAGGAAAAGCATTTTAGTAGCTGTTGAAAAGCTGTCTTGCTGTCACATGTTGAAACGGTAGTACAATAATGCAATGGTAGTAGTGTGTGTTGAGAGGGCAGCGTAATCGTTGTTGCTGTAGAGATGTATGTTGAACTCTTTTTCGCAACATATGTAGCCAACCATGCTAATTAGAGGTACAGGGGAAGGACAAACTTAAACACAAAAAACATTTCTTAAGAAATGAGTTTTGAATCTAGATTAAAAAAATGCATAGCTCCAGTGGCTTCTTAACATCGAAAGGAAGAGTGTTCCAGACGGCCGCAGAAGCACATCTGAAAAGCACGCAATGCAGTGACCGTCTTCGTTCGATAGCCAGCCATCGCTGCTTGTAATGTGCTGCCTGTGCGATGCGTGCAGTCCGTATGCCCACTGCGGCTCGGACGAACACTACAGGCTCCTGCCTCTCCGTTGCGTGTATGCTGCCCTGTGTATTAGGCCTTGGTCACCCTTAATCTCCCTTCACGACAAAGGGGGATTTAAGGGTGACCTTAATCCAAAGTTATTGACTGATATCTCCACTGATAACATCTCTGCCCCCCCCTATACCCCCTTACTTGTGTGTGCCTGCATTCAAATGCATTGTGCAAATATGCAGCCAGTTTTCAGGGTAGATATATGGTAATTCATTAATATCTGTATTAATTAAATGATAGACTGATGAAAACATGCATTGAAAATATGGATGGACATATAAATTAATGAATGAATGGATGGATGAATACATCATTGCATGAATGAATGCATAGTTACTCGGGAGTGCACATAATGCAGGGATGACGTTTACCACAATGTGACTAGAGGCATGCAAATAGGGCATGTGCTTTTTTAAAACACAGCGTGTGCGACATCTGTGTAATGTGAATGGTGCGCACGTGCATTCATGTGAGCGCACACAACACACAGTACAAGGAAAGTAGTATATACATTTGTCGATCGATTCCTATTATCCTTGAATATAATGGAGATAACACGATTTGAACTCGCCTATACATGAACACTGTGAAGGATCACCACAGACTATAGGATGGACAGAACTCCACTTATCCAAGAACAAACTGCGAACAGAAATCAATTCTCCAATCCGGGATGGGGGAAAAATCAGATAATGGCGGATTATAGGAAAAACAGGGTGCAGACTTATTGTATATCACAGCTTGTTGATGTAAGGAGTGGGGTGGAGCAGTAACACGGTTGTTAGCGCACTGTTTTACACCGAACAGTGTGAAGTATGGCCACACAACCTCCATGCCCCAAACAGTTTGTGGAGGGCCCTCATCAATCACAACAGACTGCAAATTTAAACTAAAATGATGCATGCTCACACAAAATCTTATACGTGCGCTTGTAATATAAACTTTGCAGTGAGTGCAGACTTTTATGTCTTGAATACTAGGAAAGCTACACTGTCATCAGATAATTTCCATTAAAGGATTGCAGATGATTTGTAAAACGTCTTTGTTCATCCGCAAATTAAAGTTTAATGCACTTGCTATAAAAGGAGCCATTTGAACCCTCACCTCTTTAGGGAATGGGGTGGGGGGCGGGGGAGAACTTTCTGAAATAAATAAATATGTAAGACACAAACACGTTTTTGTGCTACCACGATTTTCTTCTCCAAATATTTTCTCTCCACCGGACGTCAATTTGCCGTCATTAATTTAGCACAGCGTCCTTTAATCTTGCACTATTCATGAACTGGAACAGGTACTTTTCTGCCAAAATATTACTCTCGTGCAACAAAAAGCCCCTTGATCCAATTTAAACTTAATTGAATTCAAAGCAAAAAATAATAAACGAAATTTCCAAAAAGCCACATGCAGAAGTTAAACATAATAGATTGATTTACTTTTTTTAGCAATGCAGCTGATAATAGATTATATAAACATACACACTACAAATTAAGTAAAATGGTAAAAAGTATTCAGTACTTCAAAACATTTCTTTGCTCTTTTAAGGAGGTAAATTGTTTAACGCAAAATTTGTTTATTCGATTAGAATGTACACATAGACCCAATTAAAATAATCCATTTATAGATGTGATAACATCAGAAACAAGGTTTGTACATACACGCATGCTGCACACGTGCCAAAAACCCTTCTGGAACATTAAGCCACTGTGCAGTAAAGGAACAAAAGTGCCCAAGACATTTAAAAGAACAGCACCCCACTGCTCTAACGTGCAGAGGAAACGCTATAGTTTAATAACACTCCCACCATATATTGGTGTAGTGGTTCAATTCATAGCACCCATCAGGGTGTTCTATTTTTAAAAAACTAGAATTGGAATAAGCCATTTTAAAACCTAAAGGTAGAATCTAAGTAATACTTTAAAGAAGTGCTAGGGCAGGAGGTTGCATTACAACTAGTAGCAAATGGGACATGCGTGCAATACAAACCAATGATCATGAGTAACTTTTCAATGTGCGCTACTAACCCAAACATCTGTGCAGAAACGTTACTCAATATGGCATCATTAAGTGTATTGCAATGTACTTCTTAAACTTGCAAAACATTTTATCGTGAACCTGCTTTAATGGACGACTTGTCATTGCCCTCTCAGTGTGGATAATTAACTTCTAAGTGAGACTAAATGAAACATTTCATACGAGTTACTTTATCTTGATCAGGGGATCAATTGGGCCTGTTTGGTACGGTGCCATTTCCCACGTGGCCAAAATATCTGTAATTGATAACAGATTTATTTTTTAAACTTAGCAGAAAAAAAATCTGAGCATTATTCTTTCTTAGAATTTTTTTACTAATGATAGGGTATGACCTTTGCAGTTCATTGCAGGGTGGCATGCCACCATGCAGTGAAAGCGAGTGTGGTAGGTAAGGCAAACCAAAAAACAAACACTATTGATCATATCTTGGAGAAGTGTAATCAAGGCTGTGTGTCCTAGGCTGTCCAACACAAGCTCGAATCATTGTCTGATGTCCCTAGAGCTCACTCTTGCTTGAGTGTTTGAACCAACGATGTCAAGGTAAAATGTTCTCATGAACAGATTCTAGCCTATGTTGGATAGCCTGGGACACTCAGCCTAGCCAGGTATGTATCTACAAGACAGAGCTAGTTGTTTTACTTCCTTAAATGTGGTACGAGCCAATAGCGACAATGTTTATTTATTTATTTGTCGGGGAAACCTTGGGAAAATGTGAAAGGTAAACATAAGGATCGCACAATCCATTTCCCTCCCACACACATACTTCTCTCATCACCCCACCTCCATAATGATTATCTTCTCAGGTGTTCCCTCCTTTGGTTACCATTGCTTTACCAACCTTGTCCATCAGCAATCCCTTCGATTGATGCATCCTGGCCAAGCCTAAGTACGCCTATTTAGTCATGGCATCTCTGTGGATGTTCTCTGACCCACGTATTAATTTTTCTATCTCTCAGTGAAATTCCCATCATGCACCTCTCTATACGTATTTGAAAGCTCTCACCAAGCCTTACTCTGCTGAATGAGACCAAGAAAGTCAAAACTGGTCAAGAGTTCTCGTTTTAAAAAAAATGGCGCGATATAATAATCACTTGGAAATCCAATAAGCGAATGTAGAGATGAACATCTGCTTATTTATCACCTAACATAAATAATACCTTTGCGTGTTTTTCCATAATTGTATTCCAATAGTGCCATCGGCATTGACATTTAAAAAATCCACTCGAAACCTTTGCAGTGTATAAGCGCTCAGTCGAGAACAGTCCGTTGAAGCAGAGATCACAGAACTACCTCTGAAATCTAAGTGACCTCTTGTTATCACGAGGGAGCAGCACTTTCCCACCCACCCTGCATTTATTGGTGACCAGGCAAAGACTGTCAAATAACTACACTTGAGTACCTGTTTATAATTACAGACAACTACCAGGATTCCAACCCACTTTCTCAACGGTGTCAACTCAGCGCTCTGACCTTTGAGCCAACCGGACACTTCTCAGTATATAATTAAATACAACACACAAGGATAATTATGACGCCTGTAAACACTCATGACAAGTAATACACACACAATGTGTGTGTATCAGCCCATCATCCTTCCAGGCATGATAAAAATGAGTTCCACTTTGTAGGGACGTTAACAGTGTTTGTACGTATGTTGAACTTCTTTTGCACCATACGTAGCCAACCGTGCTAATTCGTGGTGCAAAACAGCGGATGTCCTATGAACTGTGGAATTTCCACCACAGGGCTGTAAACAGGAGATGAGCACCGCCTTCTTAATGCTCCTTTGAACAAGAAATCATCAGCTTGCCTTCAATTTTTTTTGCAACCACACTGGCAGCAATTACTGGGAGTTACAGACGAGGTGTCGGATCTCACCTGCAGGGCGATGAGGATATTCGCGAGTGCCTGCCCATAGGTGTCATGGCAGTGCACTGCCAGCGCACTCATTGGCACCTCGCGGCTCACGGCGCGCAACATTTCGCGCATGCTGCCCGGTGTACCCACACCGATCGTGTCCCCCAGAGAGATCTCGTAGCAGCCCATCCCGTACAGGCGCTTGGCCACCTGAGCGGGGGAAGGACGGCGTTTGACCATTACGACTCTTGTGGTGCACGTGGATTGATTGACAGCAATTAGCTCAACAATATAACAGGACACTGGTGGTTGTTAAGGCAGCATCAGTGACTCAACTCACCTCCGCTACTTTGGCTGGATATATTTTTCCTTCATAAGGACAGCCTACAACACAGGACACATACCTAAAGGCAAAACACAAGTACACACAATCATTGTCAATGTTTGAAATGTTCACAAATTGGTTAAAAACTATTAAAAAAGTAAAAATAGTCGATCAGGTGTACAGACTATACTGCACAGAATTTCTTAAAGTAAATAATTACAGATCACTTATCAGCTACTGGATCTTCCAGAACACAAAATGTCCAGCATTTATATTAAGCAAGAAAACGTTGTACTGGTTCAAATAAAAACGTCTCATTGGTATAGTACTGGGTACCCTGATGTGTGCTGACAGCACACAATGTGGAACCAATCGGTTAAACTACAGCAGTGTGGCAAATGCTACCGCACAGCTACTGGGCTATTATTAGTCCCAGTTTTTCCATGAAAAGATATCAAAAAGCAGAGCCTCATCAATTAAATCTTTGTACAGTAGGATGGCATGAACTTACAAACCGTGCCTTCAACAAGGCATCCCTGCTCTACTACGTCATCAATAAGAACCACTTCTTCTGCCGTCTAAATGAAGCTCAATGCCATCTCAGCTGCAGTCTGTACCCTCGGACGGGGATGTTGGCATCCTGTGCCGCACGTGCCACCTCCTCGAAGCGTTGCAGGCTCTCGGCGATGGAGCAGTTGATGTTCTTCTGGCTGAAGGACTCTGAAGCTGCCCCGAATATGGCCACCTCGGTGGCCCCAGCCTTCACCTGTGAACACCAAGGGTCTTACATTCATGCATGCCACCTCATGTTTATTGATTGTTGTGCATCTTGTTCATTTCCAGATTTATTAAATAAAAAGATAAAGGCACAGCGCTGCAATTGCTTGCTCATTTCACTGCTGGCAGATCCTCCACTTGAACTTTGGAGAGCCCTGTCTGGAGGATTATCTGACCTATTCTTTCATGCTGGCCAAGTCTTGTAAAAGGTGGGGATACCCACACATTGTGACCTGCTGATCAACTAATTTATGAATGTAATTGAAATACATTTCACGTATAATTTGTTCACTGTCACACGATTGGAAATAAACTGTAACATCACCTTCAAAGACCCGACTGCATTTTGAAGTGTTGTTATCAAATAATCACAATGAATTTGCGTTATAGTAAAGCATGTTATATGTAGTTTCCAAATTTAGATAATCAACTTTTGTTATGACTCTCCATGAAATGCTTCTATCAAAACACAATATTCATCCAGGCTGTGAATTAATTTCAACAATAGTTAGAATATATTTTTATATTACTATCCAAATCAAGAAACATCTAAATACGACTATTATTTCATTTTTAAATTGTGGATACAATTAAATATTCAGCACATATCAACAATAAACATAAACCGTAATTTTAACAAAAATGTTTTCCAATCATGACAAATGTAAACATGTATTAAAAACTGTCTTAAAATGAAATTAAATGAGGTAGGTACTTTTTCAGAATTCTATGTGAGTGTTTTTCAACATTTTAGGCACTAATGCCACAGCGATGGGGGTTTGAGAATCGATTGTCAATTGTATAAAACATGCTGTCATGTGAGACTGGTGGCATTATCCAATGTTACTTTACACAATACCACCATAGAACATGTGAAATGTCACCTGCACCATCAATGCCACCGATTGAAATATGTTAATATAGGGAGATGAACTCACAGCAGCCTGAAATCCCTTAAGGTTGGGGGTGAGAACTGGGTAGCTCACTCCGGGCAGCTTCCGAATGCCGGTCATTACTTCTACGTGATCGGCCATCTGTCAACACACAGTGCAATTAAAACACTCTTCATTATTTTTTTCATTTTTATGTTATTATTTTTATTTCAATAAGTCTCATGATTCTTGCTAGTGTTACGAAGTGTACTCCCAGTTGAGTCATTTGCAAGTATTTTTTTTATATCGCCATGTTTGCCCATTAACAGTTACATTGCATGGATTTGTTTTTACACGCTTTCTTTTAACTCACTCTGTCTGTTGTTGTTGTCGTATCCTCAAATCGTGTAACTAAATTTTAACCCACTTACCAATGTGGTATCGACTGCAAACTTGGTATACTTATGTCATACTGATGACAATACTATATTCTATTATAAAAAAGAAAATAAATCTATTTTTAAACATTCTTTTTTACATGTAATGTTTCGGCTTGTGTCTAATTGTCCACGGTCAACTGATGTTGGCTGTAATTGGCCACGGTCCCTTACGTTATGGCAAACTTCAGGGCCACTTCTTGGAGTCGTGGAGTTCTGCCATTACTATAACATTTCATAAAAGCGTGTTTATAATTTTTTAAAAAAATATTACTTATTTAAGCTATGGGATAATTCCAGAGAAACCAAAGGAAACCAATAAGAACAGGGACAGAATATACAAACTCCCACAGAAAGGCAACTGAGTAAGGAGATGAACCCAGGCACGTCTTGCTGAAAGGCATAAGTGTTACCACTATGCCACAATGCCGCCCGATTTTTTGGAAATCTATTATAAAAGCCTGGTGTTCCGTTTATCTGTCAACAAATTATAAAGATCCTTTCAGAAGGCCTGCATAAAAAAATTATATAAAGTGGACCCCCCCTAGAAGTGGAGGTAAAAAGTTTGATCCAACAGGTTTGAAGAAATTGTCGCCCCTCCCCCTCGCTAAAAAAAATTGACTTTCCCCCCCCCCCCCCAAAAAGAACAGTGTAGGCATATATGCCTACACACCCTACATACAATCATCAGTAGTATCTGCACACATTGGTGGAGGGGGGGACATCAGTTTAAGTTTCATTTATTAGGTAGAACCCTGTGAGCCATGCGGCTCTTGACTCGGGTGCAACCGCAACAAAACATGAACAAGAAACATCTTAAAATAACTACCAGCAACAGAAAAATCCTGGAAAAAACAGCAACGTCTTCCAAAAAAACCACCGTAATTTAACGCTGTGTGCAAAAATCCCAGTGGGATGCAAGTCAGTAAGGGTGACGGGCGAATTCTAGTTACATGAAAATCGGCCACACTCCCATGGTGAGGGCATTTGTCAACTAACCTTAAGCCACAGGCCCCAAAGTTAATTATATTCACTCATATGTCGTGGCGTTGTTGCACACAGCTAATGTCAGTGACAAATGGTGTCTGAATCGATCCAATTATTCTGACTAGCGTGGTCAAAAACATATGATCCAGCAGTGGATTCAAAACATTGTTTTAATTACGTGAATGTGTATTTAGCCCTGTTTAACACGTAGGCTTTCGATAGATAATGTTGAAGTTCTGTGCAAAACTAGCTACTACTGCATTAGACCACCTTTGCCAGTACCAAAATATAATAATAGGGTTTTTCCCCTTTTTTTCTGGCAACAAAACTGAAACCTTTTTACAAGGAATCATGTGTGCATTAACCACAATACTTGTGGTCAAAATGCAAATAAAAAACACGCTCTGATAATATATGCATTGTCCTTGAAACTGATTGGTCCACACCAGAGACGGCTTTCTTTTGAGCCTCGTCTCAATTGGTGCTAGACTAGAGGACGTCAAAAGGCGTACAGCTCAAAGACAATGCACTATCAAATTAATGAGGGCTCGGGGTAAGCATCTACATGATTAGACCTCCTTTGCCAGTACCAAAATATAATAATAGGATTTTTCCCCTTTTTTCTGGCAACAAAACTGAAACCTTTTTACAAGGAATCATGTGTGCATTAACCACAATACTTGTGGTCAAAATGCAAACAAAAAACACGCTCTGATAATATATGCATTGTCCTTGAAACTGATTGGTCCACACCAGAGACAGCTTTCTTTTGAACCTCGTCTCAATTGGTGCTAGACTAGAGGACGTCAAAAGGCGTACAACTCAAAGACAATGCACTATGAAAATAATGAGGGCTCGGGGTAAGCATCTACATCATTAGACCTCCTTTGCCAGTACCAAAATATAATAATAGGGTTTTTCCCCTTTTTTCTGGCAACAAAACTGATTACATTATTATAAAAGTACTTTAACATCGGGTAAAAGTTAGCTTTCCAAAATTCATAACACTTATAAGCCATCCAGTTACTGCATGGGGTTAGACTATTGGATTTTCTTTCTCCACGTGCCTCCTCTCTACTTACATCCAGTGTCCTCACATCTTGTTCCAACGCATCATTCCGTCTCCAGCTCTGTCTCCCAATATTCCTTCTGCCCAGCACAAGCCCAAACCATCTCAATGTAGCCTTCCTTACCCCTCTCAAGAATACAAGTAATCCCTGCTGAGACTCTAACTTCTTCATTCTGCCTCCTTTTCTTTTCGATATATTCCCAACATCCCTCCTGGCATTCCCAAATGTTACTTTCAAATCTTTTTCTTCTTACTTCCTAAGTGCTCCAAAATGAATAAAATATATATTGATAAAATGCAATATGAATAGAAGGACTGTGAAAGAATACGGTCATGAATAATTAATTCCAGTGCCATCGGGACCATGTTTCTACAGACCTGCGGAACCCATTTAGGAGAAACAAAGCTGGTAGCCTCCACCACAGGGCAGCCTGCCTCAGCCAGACGCTCAATCAGCTCAATCTTCACAGCTGTCGGCACCACAGTCTGAAATGGAGCACACCAAAGCAAGCATAACATATTTAAGGCGTGGCGAACGAATGTTGTAACAAGGACAAACTAAACACAAAAAGCAGTTCTAAAGGAATTCGTTTTCAATTTAGATTTAAAAGTGCATCGCTCCAGTGGCTTCCTAATATCGGAAGAGCGTTCCAGACGGCCGCCGCAGAAGCACATCTGAAAGCGTGCGATTCAGTGACCGTCTTTGTTCGATGGGTAGCCAAAAGCCGACAGTAACAATATCCTGAACAGCCACAAAAAAAAAATTGGCTCATTTGATTAGAAATAGGAAGCACATGTTTATTTACGACATCATATTTACACCTTGCAGCATCCCATTAAATGTAAACAATTTGCAGTCACAGGTCTCAAATAAGTGCATACCTTTTCGTTCTGTAGTCCATCACGCGGACCTACTTCGACAATCTTAACCCGGTTGGGCAACCCACTGATGGCCACCGCCCCCTGAAATAACACAGAAAGTTCACCAAAAGCCACGAGATGTACAGGTCATTATTCACGTATAGGAGCAACTGTAGTGTTTGTAATATGGTTAGTCCAGCCTAATTCACAACATTCCATGTCCACAACTGTGAAGAGTTTTCAAAATGTCAATAGTGGACTGTGCAGGGCTTACAAAGTCTATCTTTGCAGTTGCTCATTCGCAATGTTGTCATATGGCTATGACCTTATTCATTCATCTATAAAACTTTACATAAATGAAAACCCATATGGCTTACTACCTTGGCTTCTTGGCTTTGCAAGGGAGTAGTAAATTCGAAAATACAAGTTACCATTATTATATTGGTGATAAAGACAGTTCTGAAATTATTTGGCGCCAAGTGCTGTGGAATGTCTATCGTAAGAGACATCGCGGCTTGAAAAGATTATTTCAGGACTACATTTCATAACCAAATGCTGGATCATTTTCATTATGGGAATGTGTATTGTTTCCACATTAAAATTACTCCGAAATTTGTATGCGTAGGACCAAATCACCCAGAATGTGCCCAATCTCATCCGGTCTTAGAAGCTAAGCATTGTGGTCAACCACCATGTACTACACATTCAACAAATGCATCAATAGCACTGCCTTAGAAGGAAAAGTATATCATAGCTGACGTTTCGGGCAATGGCGCATCTGCATAGCACATAAGAGCAGATAAGAGTTAGAGACTGCACTTCATACAATTCGGCCTGGTAGGATTGTTTCATCCATAAGAGGTTTTTTGGGTTAGATCACGTAAATATGTGTCGTTCAAACCTGACACCACCCGACACAGCCAACTCGTAAGGGTTGTAACTTAAACAGAACATGCCAATTCGTCACTCATACAGCACAAATCTGGCTGTCGCCTGATGAAGCTAGTTGTAATTACTGGCGAAACGTTGTACTCAGATTGTAAATGTTGTGGCTTGACTCTCCAACACACCGGTGTGCTGTACTAGTGACGAATTGCCATGTTCTGTTTACGTAACAACGCTTACTAGTTGGCTGTGTCGGGTGGTGGCGGGTTTTAACGACACATTTACGTGATCTAACCCAAAAAACTTCTATTATGGATACGTGTTAAATTATTGTTTTATGTTTTCTGATGACTGTTTATACATGACCCACTTAGTGATGCATTCCTGGGCTCAATTGTCGTTTCAAATAGGATTAGTGTTACGATAACGTACTTCGTGATGAAAATTTTAACACCAAAGGCATAAACGAAGCACTAATATTAAAAAGTGCCTTTCTCCACTCTGCTTGCAAGGTTCAGGAATTGTAAACAATTGATCCTTATGGCGGCACCCCGGGGTACCAAATAATACAAAATAGCCGAGGCAATGAAATACTTTATTTCTGGGACACTATTTTTTCCAGGGGTGTACTTAACTCCACGACTGGGGTACCAATCAATCCGAAATCAGTGTCACACTCCAGGATGTCTAAACGCCAAACATCAGCATGACAAAATACGTTATCGAAAAATTCAACTTTGAATAGTGCATCATGTACAGCTCGTCGAGATGAGTCGATTGCCCCATCGCCGACCATCACCAGACTAAAAATGTATACTCTTTGGTTCTTCGGTAAGGTCACGTAGGTAGAAAAATAAAACAAAATAACTACAAATGACTGCATCACGGACATTGTGATATTGTACCCCGGGGTACAGCCATGAGGTTCAATTGTCAGTCCCTTAGATAACCTTGAAATGAAAATTGAGGCCAGGAAAGCACCACTCTTTCCGTGCTATGAAGGGCAATTGTTGATAATGTCGACTTACATAATCTTCCCCAGAAGGTCAATGTTACCGACGAATGTGATGAGAGTTTTTGGTTGTCTGTTGCTTGTGCACATCACCAAATATCAATGCATAGTCGGTTGTTATAGGCTACATGATGGGCAGCAAGAGGTCAGTGCAGCAACATCCATCATTGTACTGTACTTCTATGCACCCCCCCGCCGCCACGTCTCCTTCGCCAATCCACGCTGACCATCAAGGTGAAGTATAGTCAAAATACAGTAAACTATCGGAATAGATTATCGTCAACACAGAGGCATCGAATACATCGTTAAAAAGCCACGATTGTGCGCAAACGTGCTCGTGAAAAACACTGCCCTTGAAAGGAAAGACAAGTCGATCTCTGTACTACAAAGGGCCATGGACCGAAACGTCGCCCATTACACCGTACCTGTCACAACCCATACGGCTTCCCCGTGTTCCTGTACAGAGAAATAGAGTTTCCACGTCCATACGGCGGATAAACGTTGATGTTTATAAGGGACACGGGGCGACCAATGAGGTTTCAAGCTCAAGTTCATGTATTAGGTGTAGCCCTGCGAGCCATTCGGCTCTTGAATCGGGTGCAACCGCAACAAACAAAAAACATGAACATGAAGAAGAAAACATGTTAAGGTGAATATGTGACTAAGTGCAAACAGAAAGTCCAAGAAAAGACAGCAAAATATTGCAGAAAAAACACCGTACACCAACGCTGTGTGCACAAATCCCAGTGGGATGCAAGTCAAACAACAACAACAACCACAATAATCGTTCTGCAACAAAGTAGGGCGCTGATAAAAGGGGTTGACATGTATGCAAGACGCGTATTCTTTACATTTAGGGCATCAATCGACAGCGTTTCTGTCACGATCTGACCCCAAACGCACCGCACGCAAGCCGACAACGCCGCTTACGGTGGCGGACAGAGATCGGCCGCGTCCCGCGAGCCTCGCGGAGCACAGCACGACCCTGAGCAGAGACGATGTGGCCATAGTCCTCCTCCTACTCCACCACGAAGAAGTCGACTCACGAGTGACTGTGAACACCACCCACCACCACCACCCTCACTCTGAAGACAACCACAGCCGCCATGATGCGTGAGGAGGAGGCTTCAACAACTGCCCCTCGGCACATCACGCTCGCTTAGAAACTGGGTGTTGTTACTCGTGCGCCACTGCGAGCGGAGGTAAGAAAGCGAATCGATGCCCGAGGAACGTTGCGGGCTTTGTTTGAAATCGTTGGCGCTGCGGGATAAGTCCGTGGAGTTATCGACGGCTTCGTGGCCGCCGCCGCCTGCCGCGTTGAGGGCGCGGGGCCTCCCCACGTAACATGGCCGCCGGATAGACCGCGAGGCACGCGCGGTGACGTCACGCGGCCTCTCGTGTGTCTCGTGGTCGTGTTGAGTGTGAGAGGCTTACACCACCACCATGTCCACAACTACAATACCACTGTCTACAACTACACCACCACAATACCACCACCATGTCCACAACCACTACACCACCACCATGTCCACAACCACTACACCACCACCATGTCCACAACCACCATGTCCACAACCACTACACCACCACCATGTCCACAACCACTACACCACCACCATGTCCACAACCACCATGTCCACAATACCACCACCATGTCCACAACTACCCCACCACCATGTCCACAACCACTACACCACAATACCACCACCATGTCCACAACCACACCACCACAATACCACCACCATGTCCACAACCACACCACCACAATACCACCACCATGTCCACAACCACTACACCACAATACCACCACCATGTCCACAACCACCACACCACAATACCACCACCATGTCCACAACCACTACACCACCACAATACCACCACCATGACCACAACCACCACACCACAATACCACCATGTCCACAACCACTACACCACAATACCACCACCATGTCCACAACCACACCACCACCATGTCCACAACCACTACACCACCACAATACAACCACCATGTCCACAACCACACCACCACAATACCACCACCATGTCCACAACCACTACACCACAATACCACCACCATGTCCACAACTACACCACCACCATGTCCACAACCACACCACCACAATACCACTATGTCCACAACCACACCACCACCACAATACCACCACCACAATACCACCACCACAATACCACCACCGCCATGTCCACAACCACACCACCACCATGTGCACAACCATACCCACCACCATGTGCACAACCATGTCCACCACCACCACCGTGTAGATTTTAAATTAAAAAACAGTTGTGAGTGCGTCTTATACGGTAAATGTCAGCGCGTGTATATGGGGTGCACGGATAGGTCGTCTCAGCCTCAAATGAGTACCTGGTGCGTGGTGTGTAAACACCACTGGGGAGACAAAGGCGGCCGGGCGTGGTGCTGGCCACCCACCCCCTCGTGTGCCGTGTTGCCTTTCACAGGGGGATCTCTGTCCATGACATGGTTAGTATAGTTTTAGTGACTGGGGCACAGTTATTGGGGTGCCGTCTTACTTTGGGAAATGTCTAATCTCGAGCATCTGCTATCGCAGGGGTCGGGAACCTTTTTGACCGGGAGAGCCGTAAAAGCCAAATATTTCTAAATATATTGCATTGAGAGCCATATAGTATTTTTAACGTATAATACATTAAATATGTCTTACTTTTAATGCGACTTCTGGTGCTGCATGGTTTTGCTGATGGCCTTGTAGTCTGGTTCGTACGTGGTGAGGTTGAGCTTCATGCAGGCGTTGAGGCCCCGTGAAATTTATCTTCAAAACTTACTTCTGTTTACTTTAAAATGACACAGTATTATTAAGCAATATCACAAGTATTTTAAAATCAGTTCCAAACTGATTTTTGTATTTTTTTTCAACTCAAAATTGTCTGGGAGCCACATGCCGTCACCAGAAGAGCCATATATGGCTCGCGAGCCATATAGGTTCCCGACCGCTGTGCTATCGGATGACCCTTTGGGGCAATTCCCTCTGCACTGGGCAAGGTCAGATGTTAGTCTATGTGGAATCTCACAACGACGAGGCTTGCGTGCTATTAAGAAGGACCATCGCTCGAAACGTTTACACATTTTATTTGTTTTCCTTTGAGGGCAGTGTCATTGACGAATTTAAAGAAACACTGCCGAGTGTTTTGGGTTGTGGATGACAATTGACAGTGATGTTGGATTTAGAAACTGTTATGAACACGGAAGCTTTAAATTTTCATTTTATTTCTAGAGTTGAAGCTTTCGTGACTGCAAGGATTCATACTCTTAGGTTTGTTCGGTAAAGTCACTTAGGTAAAAAATAATAAAATAAAAATAAATGAAAATAAATCAATTAAATCACATAATTGATTTATTTAAATTTCTTTTGATTTTTTTTATAATTTTTCATTTTATGTTATGATTATCAACTTCGGTCACAATCAATTAAATGCTTGATTTGGCAATTTTTCGGCGATTAAATGGCATCTCAAAGCGCAAAGATTTCCAAACATTCGCATAAACTGACTTGAACAAATTGTATATTGTACTGAGCTGACTTATCCAGATGCATCTAACGAACATGTCACCATCCCTTCGTAGGAATTATTCTATGTTTAAATTTTTACTGAATCCTTTAGTGACGCTAAGTTTGCAGTGGAGCACAAGCACAAATAGCAAAACTAATTTATTATTTGCTCATGAACGTCGCATGTTATACGTTTCCTTTAAAGGCAGTGCTAATGACGAATATATGTTGAAGTTTTTTTGTTGCGACATTAACTGATTCTGTATGGTATTATGGAATTACTCTCTGCCACAATGTGGAATATCCATTTCTGCCTCGGGGCTGTGAGAGATGATGAGCATACCCCCATGATTATTTGAGTGAAATTCATAAAATTGGCTACTTTAGCCAATATTGAATTCGCCATAATGTTCATATTAAACGAGTGAACTAACTCCACGTGGGAGGTGTGTACAGCGTGTGTTTATCCGTACACAAAAGCATCAGTGTACACTGTTGCAAATTACAGAAATGCATCAAACCCTAAGCAACACCGGTGTTATGTCGTATATTAGTTAATGAGCCAAAAAACCAGAAATGTACAACCCGATGTGACATGAGTGGTTCCAATTCCTTTTGGTGGCCAGCACCATCGGATCGTGTGATAACCATTTGAAATTGAGTGGGTTATCAAACGATCCACTCGCATTTAGCCGTGCAAATACATCGGTACGACTAAAGGTTGGCTTGCCTTTGATGTGACAAATGTTGCCCTTCTAAGGAATGAAAAATATGACTCTGACATTTCATACGTCACGTTTACCCGTTAGGCAAGTTTAAACTTGTCCACCTTATGTGCGACCTGCATTGTTGCATGAACGTAAACAATGATACAAACCTAGCAATGCTATGTTTTTTTTCATACAGCAAACAACTGTATTTTACATTTCTGTCCAAAACAATTGTTTTGCAGTGTGCCACCCTGATAATGAATGAGCAATGGATTGAATATTAACCCCAAATTGGATGCGCAAGAGTTGCGCAAATGAAATTCCACGTTCCCATGGCAGGGTTAAGTCCATCCGATAGGCCAGGCCAACAACATCGTAAAGCAATAGCAAATATAAACTCGTACAACCAGTTACATCCCATTACTTGTCATTAAAAACTCACAATCTGGCGCGTACAGTAGCAGTTATGTAAGGTCGTTATATAAACGTTTAAATGTTACCTCTTGTGCGGCACATTTTTACAAGTGATGGAAATTCCACCTGCCTTCATATCATATAGAATCGGTTAAACCAGTTGAAATGTCGTAAGGAAATGCATTAGTCGTATCTTCTTACCTCTTGCGACGGGAAAGCGAGCAGAGTCTTACAGACGTCAGGCACAGTCAAGCCCTGGGCAGCATAGCAATCCCTGACAACATCGTAGACATTTCCCATGAATTTAACACCGCGATCAATAACCGGTCACTTCTTCTACGTGGCTAACAGCTGTAAGCAGTATTGTTAGAGCCCCACTGCACACACAGAAATTAGTGTCCATCCAGAATGACTACTACACATCTCAAGGAAATGAACATCATTCAGAACGCCAGAGCATGCAGCTGCGATGTAACACGGCAGCCAGACACATCAGGAACATCACTCTCTGTGTGTCTTAGTCTCCGACCACGAATATCTATTGCTGCAGGGATCACGAACAGGCGTGTACACTAACACCTCACTGGAATATGCCGGAAAAGTATTTAACGACGCGTGTGTGTGTGTGGTGTGTACATCCCCGATGCCGTGTCACTGTGTACTGACGTCAGCTGACGCAGCGCGCTCGAGATGATGAATCATCAAGAGGAGGAGGATGAGATGCCGTGCAGCGTCGGTGGAGCGGTGGCGCATTGGTTAGCGCACTGCGCTCCGTCGTCAATGATGCGGTTGTGAGACGGGTTCGAACCCCCCTCCCACCACCTTCTAGATTTGAAGTTTTCGTGGCTGCATACTCTTTGGTTATTTCGGTAAAGTCACGTAGGTGAAAAAATAAAAAAAATAAAAATTCTGATTATATTTTTATAATTATAATTTTTATAAAAATATAAATAATCTGATTATTTCTATTTTTATAATTAGAATGTTTATAAAAAATATAAATCATATTAATAGAAATAATCTGATTATTTCTATTTTTATAAAAATTATGATTATAAAAATAAAAATAATCAAACTTTTTTAAAATAAATATAAATAATCAGATTATTTATATTTTTATGAAAAATATAAAAATACAATAATCTGATTATTTATATTTTTATAAAAATTCTAATTATAAAAATAGAAAGAATCTGATTATTAATATTTTTATAAAAATTATAATTATAAAAATAGAAATAATCTGATTATTTATATTCTTATTTTTTATTCCCCCCCCCCACCTTGCCGTGCTTCACATCTGAGCAGACCCACGAGCAGCCTCCACAGTCATTGCCCACCTCCTTGTCTTCACCAACCGTTCACTGAACAGTGGAGAATGGCCAAACAACGCCACGTGAATGATGGCGTGGTGGGGGGGGGGGGGAGTGGCTCTTCATCTGTTAATGGATTTGCAAAGGGATGAAATGTGATGAGAGTGATGCGTGGGTATTGCCTCGTTTGTGATAAAGTACGCAGTATACTGTAAATATACTCTGTGGGTCTTTCAGCAGAGGCACGTAGGTAGAAAATAAAAAATAATATCACGACGTTTCGATCGCAACACAAGCGGTCGTTTCTTCCTGGTTCACCGCTTGTGTTGCGATCGAAACGTTGTGATATTATTTTAAATTTTATTTTTCTACCGACGTGACTTTACCGAAAGAACCAAAAATTATGGATTGCTGCAGTCACGAAAGCTTCAAAGCAAGATTGATGCTGCAAAGATTATCAGCCATTCTCTATCTGCCAATTTCTGAAGGCCCTCTCCACTATGTTGATAAAAAAATGGGGGGGGGGGGGTTTGAGCATACTTCACCCTGGCACTGGGTATAGTACTGCATTTAATATATGTTGGATAGTATTCTACACAGTTCATGCTTACATACAGTATTATGAAGCTGTTGTATGGACTGTGGT